ACAATATTTTATGCTAAGAACATGGAATTCACTGGAGGAAACACACACACAAAAAAGAAGAAATAAAGGAAAAGTCCAAGGATTCTTGAAGAAAGTAAAGTCAGTAACAGACAGGAGAAAAATCACAGCCCTACATTAGGCAGGCATGGCCATACATTCTACTCCTGACACCACTGGGTGAAACTTGCTACCTCAAGTTTATCTTCCTTGAATTATAAAAAAGCTTTTTTTGTATATCAAGCAGCAAACACTGCACTCTCCGCAAGCAGGACAAAATATTTAATAATTTCAATTAAATTAGCAAATGGCAGAAAATTAAGCAATATTCCAAGCATTTCAGTGTGTTGTACAGGGCTACTTCCAGTAGATCTAAATGCATGAAAAGACTGTTGCACCTTGAACCACTGGATGAATGCACAGTGTACTTTAATCATAAACCCTTGTGCTTCTGGTAGTGATGGGTGCAAAGCCCATTGTGGGCTTTTACTAATGCTATTAACATGTTAATAGCAGCAATCTGAACTGCTCAGGATGTCTTAGTAGAAACAGTTATGCATTGCATTTACTAATATTTCAGTATTTTAGCAGTCTTTGACCTATTTCTTGGCCTTCATAGTATCAAGGTACATCAATATTTGAGAGGGAGATAAGCTGCTGCTTCTTCCATGCTCAGCTACAGATCTGTAAGTCTTGAACTAGAATTCTAGTCATCTTACCCTAATGCAGTCAGAACTAGCCTACAATGAAGAATGCTAAAAAAACCCAACCTAACATCTTAATGTTTCAGGTCTTGCAAACCTCATGCTCTAGCTATGAATTCACCACCAAATTACCTAGTTTGACATTTTAAATAACTTCACACTGATCCATGAACCTTATTAGGTACTATCTTGCATTAGTGGGAAAGAATTATAACATTGATATCATAATCATTGCTGCACTTCTCCACTCTTACTCTGTTGGGTGAGTCTTCTCTCAAGTTCTCAGTATCACTAACAAAACAGCTCCAGAGGGGTTAAAAGCAGTTGAAAAACAACTGCAGACAGGCTGGTGCTGTTCAACAAAATTAAGTCACATCCAATGAATAGAGCTGATTAAGAATAAATGACAAACTGCTGGTAGCTTCTCTACACTGTCCCACACTAACACTGCTAGAATTTTAATGAGAAGTAAAACAAGAGTCTAAGAAGCATATAATATCCTTTTTTCCTTCCCTAGGAATAAGAAAGTAGGCTCTACCTATTTAGGTAACAACTTTGCTCAAAGAGATTCATTGACGTGTGATCAGATAAGTGCCTTACATGAACAGGAGACATCACTGGAAGGTTTAACAAGGACATTCTCAGTAAGAACTGCATAGGATATAGATCTTATTTCCAACACTGCCCTGCCAGATCCCCAGATCCAATGATCCTTAGAAAAAACTGCAAGATAAACATCTCCCTTCTAGACATACATCATTCCTGTCCGGGCGAGGGGAGAGGTCATTATCAAATCTGAAGCAAGGTCATATCTCTAGGAAAGTTACTGAACACCAGTTAGTTAGGTCTTTGAAATGCAGGCAGGCTGTACTGCAGAGAAAAGCAGAAAAAATTGAGTCAACTTTTAAACACATTCTGAAAATGCAATTTGATCTAAATTTAACCACTTTTCAGTAGTTAACTATATTTTATGTTAAACAATCACCTGTAAGAGACAAGTTTTATAGGCAACCTTAAGTTGATTGCAGGAACAACCCCAGCCTAACAAGCAAGTTATCACAAGTTATATATGAATTTGTGGCCTGCATCATGCAGGGGTTCCAGCCACTTGATAACAGTCCAACCCAGTCTTCAAAACTATGGCTTGTTTCACTGCTGCATTAACTGCAAAATTACAAGGGTATGCAACAACTGAAGAGGAATGATTAAAACTGGAAAATGGAAGTATTACATAGTAATATTGTACAAGGCAGTATTTTAGGAGCAATGATAAAAGTCTGTAGGACTAATACAATTAAAAGAACCTCTTTTTACTCTAAAAACTAAACTGATAAAATCCAGCTGGGATCATATCTGCCCATAACGGTTTGGGCTAAGTAATTTGTATTAAAAACATATTCTATTACATCTAGAAGCGCTCCATGCTTTGTTAGCTAAACTCTAATTATTTAATCACACTCAGCACATCAGTTTTTATAGGACAGAGATCAACTAAGAGACATAGAATTAAATAAAGAACAATTATTTCATAATGAAAGCTCTCCCTCTCCCCATCAATTACTACTTTTGACTTGACATACAAAAGCACCTGATACCCCATACATAAAATCATTACAAAGTTACTCCATGCAAGTGATTTCTCAAAAACATTTGAAACTACTAGTCCCCCCGCAAGAACCAATAGCTTAGTGATGGCAGATAGAGAATCAAGACATTATTTATGCAGAAAATAAGAAACATTAGAATGAGACAACTATATGCAGCTCTAAGTTTTGTATCCAGACAATAAAAATGCAACTTATCTGCTTATTTCACAAGCTTGCCATATATTGCCAAGGATCATTTTATCATCTTTATTATATACTAAAATAACTGCTGATTGATTTTAGATTTAAAATGGAAGCATGCAACTATAAGAGAAAAATCATGTAAACAAAGCAATGCTGGGAAACATAATAAAAGCAAGGAGTTATATGTATAGATATGTATAGATGATGTAACTGCATTAGTTTACATAGCAAGAAAAGAAATTCCAGACAATTTATTTTTCCCCATTCATCTAGAATTTAAAACAAGTCTACTAATAGAGATGGAAAAGAAATCTCCATGTAAATTCAGTAATACTTTCAAGGGATATATAATGGTCAAGAAAGACAACTTGACCCTAAAATTACATCATCAAAATCAGCTGCAGTCCACACTAAATAGCTTCCCCTTCTTTACTTTCAGGGGTCCAAGGAAGTGACAGTATGCATTTACTGTTGATCTACCTTCTAATTCCTCATCTTTCACTGAACTGAAAGCTATACTACATAGTTGTCATGAACTTAAAATCCAGAAGTCAGTCTGACTGCATTTTACTTAATGTAGCAAAATACAAACTCCATGGCAGAAAACGTACTCTAAAACTAAACCAGAAAACAGGAAGGACTGGACTCAGTGTCTCAACATATAGCCCTAGTTCCTTGTCAAGCAAATCTTTATTACTATTTTAAGTTTTTAATGGTAAAAAAAGAACCCAAACCCCCCAAAAACCCCACAGGCTGGCACTCACAGAATGGGGGGCAGGGGTAGTAGGTAAGGAGAATGAGAGAGACTTGATTTTTTTTGTTTTAGTCCAAGTTACATCACTTCCACTTTTAAGGGATTATCCAGAATGCAAATGAGGTGATGACAGTTATGCTAGTTTCTAATTTGACAAGGACAGGAGGAAAAGAAACTGATGATTTCCATAAAGACAAGGATTAGAGCTATGACTTCCTTTCTCAAAACACCTCAAACACATTACATGGTGGTTTTCAGTTTCTGAGGTAAGGCCATTACACGTATTCCACATTTGTACTGGATCTAACACAACAGGTTACCAAGCCACAGCAGAGTCAGAAAGACGCAACTCCATCCTACACACGCCTTCAAATATGTTAGATTACATGCTGCAAGTTCCCTCTGTCAGTATTAGGTTCAGGTCCCTAGCTACTGTAGGACCAGGATTCTGCATTTTGTTTTGTACACAGATGCTATAAATACTGTTACAGAGGATAAATCCAAAACCTGTACAGCATTCAGGCAACGTGGGAAAGAAAAGCACAGCAGAAAAAAATAGGAGGCAAACCGTTCTTAGAACAGAGCACCCCTTCACAAATGGCTTTTGCTTCTTCACAAATTAATGCATTGGATTTCCATTTGAACAACCAAAAGCTTGGAAGCATGTGTTGCTTTTTTTTTTAATTTGGTGCCCAGTGTTTATCTGATTGCCTAAGAATTCATTTTCATGGCCCAATTGCCTAAGTGCCAAGGTTTATCACTGCTGCTTTTGTGCCCATTTACTCAGGTTAACTTGGCATTTGTCTTCCCACACCTGAAAGAGTCACACTGAGAAGCTCTGTCACACTTGTATCTTTTAAAAGCAAAGAGATGCTGAGAGTACCTGCTATCCATGCCCTCAGAACTGAGCAGTTGTCAGCCACTTAATTGCCTACAATTTTTTTTGAGGATCCAACAGCTGTACTGAAATAGAAACAGCTCAAACACACTGTAAAATTTAACAGAAATTCCCCTCAAACATTCAGAAGCATCATCACTAACACTGAAATAACTTATGCAAACAAGATACCAAAACATTATATGGAAGCAATGCTGCTGAGCACTTAAGACTGCTGCCTACAGAGACAGGTAAGTGTTTAAATATTACTAGATTTACCGGGCTGCACTATTGCCACTACAACTTCTTATGTTTTGGTTAAGTTAACCAACACATAAGGAGAGTGGAAAAAAAACCAAACCAAAAACCAAACCACCAAAAAAACCACCAACCCTGCAATGAACAGTTACTGAAGCCACAGGTGCAATTTGTTTTGTAATACAGTTCTCACAACCTACATTTTGCTAGGAAAGAAAAACAATGCAGCATTCCCTTATCCACAGGTATTAAACTATAGTGAATTACTATGAAATTACTTGCACCTCTAAAGTAATTCTCAAATATTTTAATAGCTGTTCAGGTCCTCTGTAGTGCTGGTTCATGATTCAGTCTACTATAGCTACTGAAAATGCTTTACATTTTTTATGCCTTCTTGCCTGGGGCTGGGGAGAAATGAATGGGACGAGAATAAAAATCTGATAAGCTGGAGCAACTGATCTTCACAACCTACAAAGTGATTCAAAGTCTGCTTACAACACAGAAGAGTTATTTCAAATGCAAGCAGTGTTAACAAAAAACACACCACAAAGACACAGGAGCTTGTTCAAAGAAGGTAAAAAGTATTTGCTTTTTAATATGCACTTAAGTCACAGTATCTGTTTGGAGATCATTACACCAGGTAATGTTTTCATTGTATTCTCAAAGTATTTTACAAGAGCAACAGGAGCAGGTACTAAAGGAACCCAAACCCCGTGGTTTCAGAGCAAAAATAAAGCCAGTGACCAACATTCTTTCCATTCATCTTTATCTATGGTTGTACAACACATCATTTTTAAAAATGCAAAAGCCATCACAATAAGTAAATGAAATCAAAGGAGATACGCATTTCAACATTTTTCTGGCAGTCTTTACCTGATGCCAGTAGTAAAATGTAACCATAATCCAGTAAGACCATTTGAAATTATTTTACAAATTCTAGATTTAGGCCATTTTCAGTGTTCTGTATCACTCTGGCAAAAAAAATCTTTAAGGAAAAACAATCATTAAATGCAATTTCTATTAAGAGAACAGAATACATTGAAAAAGAGCAGCTATTGATCAGACCATACTGAAATGAAGACAGACCTGGTGTGCTACTGGAATTTTAGTTGAAAGCTATATATTTAAACATGTTATTCAAGTCAAAACTCAAGGAGAACTTGAGGGTAAAAAACAGCTGTTAACATATTAACTGTGTCTGATAGCACGTTACACAGTACACACATACTCGCTCTTTTTGCAGTATTTATTTGCAAGGCTGTAGCACTGAGATTTCTCCTTTGGCAATAAATTATTTACTATCATACAGTGTATAGAACAATGGTGAAACATTTCTTGACAACTTGAGAGACAGACATACTGCAAAAGTCCATGCCTCTGAAAATGAGAAATGGAGACAACAGCCTCCTTACATCTTCATTAGCTAGATCCCTTCTCCTCTTTGGCAGCAGAAGCCTCCATAGGAGTAGCTTCCAAATCTTTGCTTGACTTCTCTTTTTCTTCATTTTCATCCTCTTGAGGGTAAAGATCGGGGTATTTTTGCATGCATTCCTGCATGGCACGGAATTGGTCCACACAGTCTGACCCCTTTATTTCTTCTGTGCTATAGTGGAAACAAGAAAAGGCTGACTTGAACTGTTCCCCACAGGGACCACTAGCCATTCCACCCAGACATGGGCAATTCCAATTGATATCTCCATTGGGCAATATCAATCCTGAACAAACAAGAGAGAAGAAAAGTTAAGCGCTCCTTCCAAAAATTGATTTCATTCAGTGAAAGCTGCTAGGCTGCAGATGTAAGTTGAAGTATTAACAATGCCATGTTAGTTCTGTAGCTTCAAGGGTGCTAAATACCTTTCACTTTCTGGCCAGTCTGTTTCTATCTCTGATCTGTATGATCCTTTATTGGGCACAAGTGAGGTTAGTTCTATACCCATAACTGAAATAAGTCATTCTCCCTGTACTACAGACCACTGAGAATATTCTAAGGAAACTGCAAAACAGATCTAAGTCAAGTCAATCCACTTGCTAAACTCTGTCAGGGGAACAAGCAAGCCTTAAAATCATGTCATATAAGTCATAAGAATTTAATTCCAGTATTAAGACTAGAATTCAAGTTGGACAGATGCATTTTTCTTCCTTTTTTAAAATGAACTCTGGAATACTAATCCACAACTTTCATCTTAAAATTTGAACTGGAAAACCAGAATTACAAAAAACAAAAATCAGTTTAATTGTAAGACACAGATTAAGTCACATGCCACAGAACACAAGGAATAGTGAGAGCATGCCAGCCTGTCTGGTTCCCAGAAACCAAACTGCACTTTAGATCACAACTGAAAGTGAGCTGGGTCTCATTTTAGACTAAACTGAACAGCTGTAAATTTCTGCTCTGGAACATTTAAAGTCATCACAGAAATAATACAGTGATCGAATAGCAAGGTGAAGATTTAAATGGGCACGTATTCTTTGAGACATCAACTGACTTGCACAATGAAGTTCAAGGATCAAGCCAGAGAACTCATTTCCTCTGTAAGTTTTAGAAAACCTTTTAAACAGTCAGGTGTAGAAATGTAATAGAATGGACTTGGTTGTGTGGGCTCCTAGAGCCTCTAATATATTGCTTTAAAGCAATACATCTCCATTCCCTTTCTCTACTTTGCACAAACATACATGTAGTTATGTTCATCTACAAAGAACAAGAGAAATACTGTGCTGTGACCCAAGCTGGTTTCTTCTCCACTTTAACAGTTTGCTCTCCTCCTCTCTAGTAGTCTTCCCTAACTTAATCTCCAGGTTGAGTTTCTGCAGAAGCTAACAACATGTGCATAAACCTGAAGTTTAAGTACTTCCCCTTCAGAGGCAGGTATGAAAATACCATTGTCAGAGAATAAAGTTGCATTGATTCTGATCCAAACGTGAAATTATATTTAGGGCCTGATGTAACTTGACGTTACCTGAAATACTCCCACAAAATTCAATAAGCCTACTTATTTTCTTTGTCCTGTGGCATCATGAAGCTCCAGACATACGTCTCACTCCCACTAGCAACCTCTTGGACACTAGGCCACAATATCATGAATCTTGTGTTCTAGTACAGCAAAAGCACCTCAATCATATTTATTGCTATATTAAAAGGAATGAATGGAAAATTTTACTCTGATTTGCAATTCATCAATGATGTGCTCTAACTCAGTCAATGCAGTTTGGCAGAAAATTACACTGAGTCAGTCAAATCCCTGTGTTGATCAGTCTTTTCATTACAGAAAGTAACAGCCTCCTTAGCATGATTTAGTCCACTACACTAATACTGACTGTCATTTTTCATAGATCATGCTTTATTCAGCAAGATAGTTTTGTAAAATATCTGTAATAATCCCTGTACTGAGAAGTTATACCCAGTACAGCACATCAAGGCATCTCTAGCTGCCTGGAAGAAAAGCAGAACTTCTGAGACAAGGAAATGGATGGCTGGTGCCAGATTCCTTATTGCCCAGGATGACAAAGCAGAAAGATGTTGATTGTACAGTGTAGAAGAAATAAGGCTTGCTTTATAAACTAGATTTTGAAGTCCTATGTTCCTCCTCACTAACATCAACCATTGATTTTAAACAGTCATTTTTCTAACACTTCAGAAAGAAAAAATACATGAAGAGTTTTGAAATGTTCCTGAAGATACCACAGCAATAAAATTACTTGTAAAATAATTATTTTAAAATAAATTGTTCCTTTTAGAACCAGAACTGCCTCGTAAGCATGGAAATTTTAACAACAATGTAAGAGTTAGCCCATAGACAATACATTCTTGTATATCACATAAGCATTGATTTGCAACTGTTTGATCACTGAAATAGCATCAGTTTCAGATGTTACATGCACAGAAACCATGCTTTAAAAAAACAAAACAAAAATACAGATAAGGCAAGCATTTCCTCACTGATAATTACAGCAGAATGCACACTTCAATGACTAAGTGTATCAGCTAGCTCAGAACACAATTAAAATGGAAACAGATTTCATCCCTCAATCTCCCTGAATCACAAGTCTGCAATAGACAGGATTACCAATTTTAATTAAAATTGAATTAAAGCTTCTTGCAAATGCAGCCTGAACCTCACTGATCCAGTGGGTCATAATCTACTTGAGCCTGTGCTTGGGGAAGAAAAAACAACCCTGTTTTCGTCATAGCAGATCAAGGCTTGTGTTAGCAATTAACTGCTAACATCACACAGCCTAACCTCTCTTAGCTCATGGGATCTGTTAGTATCATGGATGAAGGCAGGCCCATCTGCATTTATGTCAACGCTTGTGTTTGTACTTGCTGTAATGAAGTCCCACTGTTCTGAGAAAAGTTTCTTCCCTGATATACGACAAACATTCCAAAAACAAGTTTATCTGCCAATGATTCACAATGTAAGATGACAGACACATAGGAAGCAGGATTGAGAGGGACATCCTCAGTCATAAAAACAGTCCAGTACATCTGATCAGTCATCAAGTTCTTTCTTAAAAGAATTAGGGTTTTTGCTTCATCAGTGCTCTGTGGAAACCATTTCAAAACTGTGGCTAAAATAAGATGACAGGAACAGTCTGGAAAAACAGAGAAGGGAGAGGACAGCAACAACCCATGTTTGAGGTGCAATTCCATAAGCACTTGTAGCCAACTCTCTTAATCACAGCTGTAATGCTAATAAAAATTACTTTTCATGCATAAAACTCACCAGTGCCTTCTTCATATAAGTCTAATAAAATAAGAAATTATTCTGATGGGAGCAAAGATCTCAATGAAAACTAGAGATCTTTCACATTTAAATGCTTCCATCTGCAACACATAAGACCAGAAATAAGCTTTAGAGTGAGAATACTATTTCAAAACTGCTGCAAATGAATTCTTAATTTGCTTCCATCAGCCACAGCTGTTAAAAGGCACGTACAGTGAACTTTGAGATATGCTGTAATATGAAATGCTAGCTTGAACTTACCCTGTTTTTTCTGCCTTCCCATTTCACACAGCTTCATTTCTTTCAATGTGTTTGGCTTAAAGTGAGCCATTAACATTTTGCCTACCAAAATCTTATAACTGATAGAAATAAAAAAAGAATACTATACAACTTTATTTTCACCCAAAGGAAACAGCACAAGTTTTCCTGAGTGATCTACTGACTAACGTAGACTACTCAAAGACTAATGTCTGTTAATGCCTGAAGCAAAATAAGAACTATCCAAAAACACCAAACTACTTGTTTATCTTAAATATGAAAAAGGCCCCTACAAAAAAAACAAGACCTCAAATAAAAGTTTCAGCTGTATTAGAAAACAATACAGATTATGGTATATCTATATAATAAATCTATTCTTTCCCAGATATGACTGTTCTGTGTATAGCACAGCAGAAAAGATGAAAAGAGTCATTATAGTTAATTACGCCACAGAAGTTGAACACTGGAAACCAAGTCTTCTATTCAAAGTAGAAGCTAAATTAGAAAAGCCTGCATGTTACCCTATGTACAGCAAAGCCCTTTCTAATTTTCTTTTAAATAAAAACCACATGAGCCAGAGCTTCTGCACTTCAACATATTTCAAAACATTTTGTCCATATGTCCTTCCTGCCCACAAATTTCACTCCCATTAGATGCAGCTACATTCTGTGATATGTCAATTGTTTCTGTTTTGATCTGATGCGCTGTAGCCCGAGATCATTCAAGTGAGAAATTTTCAGAGAACCCTTAAAACATGGCAGTAACTTACCACACACTAAGAAAAAAACCCCAAACAAACCACAAAAAAACAAAAGCCAACCCAAACTTATTAACTGTATTTAAACAAAGTTACAGTCTCTCATTTTGAATCACACAGACACGTATTTTCACTGTAAGGTGCCCCTGACATAACAAGCTTCTGGCTTTCTCTGTTTTCTTCCCTGCTCCATAGTTTAGGGAACAAGTGATCTAACATGCTGTAAATACAGGATTGCTAGGGAAAAAAAAACCCCCACCACCTCTCCTCACCATGGCCTTTCCATATCTAGCAAAATACACATAAGAGGAATCAATGAATATGGCTTTTAAACAAGGAGGAAGTGGCTCTTAATTTTGACTAGTTTATTACCCAAATACATGGCACAAGAATATATATTTGTGGTGTATGTACAACCAGAAAAAGAGTAATTTGGGTGGAGGAGTGGGTCATGAGACAAAAGGACGAGAATCCCCTCTTTAGAGGTACCAAGAGAATTGTTTTCTATGTTCACATTCTAATACTCTCTAGTATGTCTGTCTATTATGCTAGATCTGAGATGGGCACTCTTCACTTTCCTCTTAAAAGCTGGTGTCAAAAATAGATGCTTAGTTATAGAACCAACATGCATCCACATGCTGTTGCTAGATAGACACCTTTTACTAACAGAATATTTAATTATCAAAGACCATGAATGATTATAAGGGGGAAGATAGGTGAACTTTAAACAACCACATGTAACAACAATACAGACTGCATACATGAATTTACTTAGCTAAACAGCAAGCCACTTTGTTTAGCTTTACACCACACAAGGTGACCTAACAGTTCAGTGAATGATAAAATCTCCAAGGGTTGGTATGTTCTCCAGATGCGATATCTAGGAAAAGTATCTTTCTTTGCTTTATTTTGCAAACAGTTTCCAGTTTTTCAGACAAAACAGAAAGCCACAGGACACAGAAAAGGAATGGGGAACTTAATTCCACTATCTGATCATTAGAGGCTGTTAACTCTTCACTTAACAGACTAATAATGGATTTTAAATTTGCTTGAGACAGGAGTTAAGAAACTCTAATTTTGTTTCACTTCCACGTAGCATACTGAGCAAATAGTCTTAAAAATGAGCTCTCCACAGACACTGTTTTCCACCTAAGGATGAACTAGCTTACATGAATCATCCGTAGGTTCCATCTTCCATCCTGGTCAAGACAGTAACAGATATTAGTGCCACGTAGATTTTATTGCCTGTAGGGGTCTGTATTTGAAATCTTTAGGGGCTGAAGCACCATTCACATTGTGAAGATGATGACAAATCCCAAAGCACAGACTGTTTCCACTAAACAGACAGTTTGGGTATTGGGCCTTAGCCAGTGAAACAACCTATCTGAAAATACAAGGTAGAAGAATTCCTGACAGATACTAAACTGCAGCTTTTAAACACCTTTCTGAAATTGGAATTCTCTCATTGTTCTCGTTTGGGCCATTATAAAACTGAACGGACTCATCACTGCTGACAAGCAAAACTTTTAGCTATAGGTACTGACTACATACAGTTGTAATGAAGCCAAGAAAGGCAGCTAAATGCAAAATCATTTAAACACAAATCTGTGTATGAAAAGTTATTTTAATGACATAGGAAGATACGGTTCAAATTAAACTACATACATCAGCTAACAAAGCAACCCTGTGTGCTCCAGTGTCTAAACTGTGCTTAAATACTGCCCTCTAAAGGTCACAAAGCCACTTGCATAACTTACTTCCTAACAAAATTTCAAGTAAAAGATTTACTTCAATCTCAGCTGAGTTGAAAGCAATGAGATCGCTTCACACTAAGTGAAGAGGCTGAAAGACCTGAAAGCATAAAGGCAATTAGTAAAAAAATTAACCCAAATTCACAGATGTTCATGACAACCATGAACCATGTTCATGGGCAAAATTTATTTAATCATCATGATAGGAAGATATTTCATCTACTCATTAGAAACAACCCAAAATATGCTCTGTGCAATCAGAATATTACAAGTCTTGGTCTCAGAAATATTCTGTTCTCTTAAATCTCCATTTGCAGGTTAGATCTACTTCATGTAAGAACTGTCATCTTCACTGAAAACTAACTTACATCTTTTCAAGGGAAAATGGTTACAGTTGAAAACTGAGTAATTTGAACTTACATGTAATGTGCCATTGAAAGATACTACTACTAGTTATTGATTATATTGCCACTAGTATAGTACAGGATTAGTCAGGTATAATTTATATTAAATCGGATATTCAGAGATCACCATGTTAGGCAATTTCAACTGCATACAGGCAGGTGAGCAACTCACATCCATAACAGTCATATGTAACTCACTTCAGCTTCTCTGAAAATTGCACTTTGTCATTTAAAACAGTGAAAAAACAACCATAGTTTTCACTGGGTAAGCTCTAACTTTGTTAATAAAAGAAAGGAAGGAAAAGCTTTTTCTGGCTATCTCTGGCTACTAACCAAAACTATAAGCCATCAACTGATGTATTTCAACAGGCCATTTTGAAAGATCATTAAAAGTGTAGGAAAAAAACCCACTGCAATGAAAGCATGTCATTTGTGATGACCTAATTTGGAAGTTAAAACTGCTAAGAGTTTGGGTGTTTATCTACTTAATAACCAGCTGCTGTCAGTCTTCAAAAGTAAATGAATAATTTGTTTCTACTTCATACGAGGTTTGTTTTCTGTTGTTCTTGCTTTTTAATTTTCTTAGAATATGATACACGTGATGTATCACTCCTTACTTCTGTTCTGCTTACTACTGACCTTGTTCTTCATAAGGGTCATCTGGGTCATCTGCAACCAGCTCAGCACTGCTTGGTGTCTCATGGTCCTCCTTGGTCGCAAATATAATTCTGTCTTTTCCTACCATATAGGAAACAACAAGCAAAAGTTCAGAGAAAGGTGAGACAGGAGGAGTCATTTACAAAGCTGCTGAACACCACAAGGTAATGAGATATTCAACACGATGCATTAATATTAACAGTGAATGAATTCTGTTGTACTTACCAATCACCTTCAATTACAACAGTTGTTGGTTCAGAGGAACACATACATAACTGAAATTCTATTCTTCTAAAGTTCCAATTTTCACAGCAACATACTGTAATGGCTGCAGATCACAGTACAGTTCATTGAACTGTGAAGTTAAAAGGCTGTTTCCAAACAAGCTCAAACTACTCTGTTATCAGGACTAACCCAGATGAAGGGGTTCAACAAAAAAAGGAAGAGCGAAAGAAAAACCATACTAAATTACAGTAAAGTGTTCAACAGGATACTTATTAATGAACAGTACTCTTCATTAAAGACTAGTGTAATATTTTACAATAATTATCTGAATTAAATACTGAAAAGCACCTTAGTGGTGTAGAACCAACTATACTGAAAGGTGCTGTGAACATTACCAAGCATAGAAAGGCAACACAGTGTACTTCCTGCTCTTGTGCCACTCTTGATTTAACAAAGAAGTTCTGTAGTGGGATGGGGGGCAGGCTTGACTAGAAAGCAGAGTAGAGCTTTCTAACAACTCTATAATCTGAGGCAGACACAAGCAGGAAAGAACAGCCAGCTGAAACTCTTCTGAACATACAATTTCATTGAGTGGGAAAAAAAAATGGTAAGTTCCCAAGAACTTCCTTTCATTTTCCGAATTCATAAAGGCCACTACAGTGACTTGGCATATTAGAAATTAGTATGTTCTTGCCCCTCAACATGACCTCAACCAGCAGATGTTCAGTAACTTCCTTTATTTTGCTCAGTAACCAATAAGCATTTAAACATGTCTAAAAAACAGATAAGTTTAAATTCTTTTCAAAAGGGAAACAGTTTTCTGTCCACTCTGCATTGTACTCCAGCAAACTTTACAATGTAGAATGTCCAGCCATTTCTCATATAAAAGGAACTAGAAACATATGAACTCTAACCCACCACTATAATTTTGTGGGATGCCATAAGACAACTTATAGATCTTGCAAAGATCCAAGATGCTTGCTAAAACCAATAAATTAAAAACATAAAGCAAAGAGGTCCATAGGTTATGACTACCTCACCACAGTTTATAACCAGCATTCAGTGTGACAAAGTTTGTAACTTCAAAATGGCATTTAGAATGAAAGAATGGCTTTTTTCCAGTTTGAAACCTTACATTTAGTCACTTTACATTACTTAAACGGCAGGGGGGAATATATCCCCCAGATATCAAGTGGTCAAGCCTCCTAAATACCACAAGCCGTACAACACAATACCTCTACCTCGGACGGATACAGAAACATAAAGCTCGCGCTCTACCCACTCTGTCCATCTACTGTGTTTTCCTTAAAAAGGTAAAAAAAAACAACCCACCAAACCTCTGGCCACTTAAGCTAAGGCTGGTAGAAATTTAACCCCTTCGGGAGGGTACCATTCCGCGCCGCGACAGGGAGCACGCCCGCACGCCTCAGCCGCTCCACAGCAAAGCCTGGCGAGCTAAAATTAGAGCCCCGAGGTGCACACACGCGGAGCTCCGGCCGTTTCGCGGCGATGTTTCAACAACCAGCTGCAGGGCGGCACTTTTCTCACCACGCCCGCAGCTACCTGCTGCCTGGACGCGCGTCCCGCACACCGCCTCGCCCCGGGGCGCCGCCGCAGCCAGGCGGCTGTGGGGACCCGCCAGGCCGCAGCC